ATTAGCTATAATATTCCTAGTACCACGACCTCTTCTAAATCCAGCCTGCACATCTGGCAGTTCTCTGTTGACATATTGTTCCAAACGTTTTTGGATAATTTTTAGCAGAATCTTGCTTGTATGTGATATTAATGATATTGTTCGATAATTTCCACACTCTGTTGGGTCACCTTTCTTTGGAATGGGAACAAATATCCATCTTTTCCAGTCTGTGGGCCAGCTGGCTGTTCTCCAGAGTTCTTGGCACAACTTAGTGAGCACATCCAGGGCAGTGTCTGTTTGTTGAAATATGTCAATTGGTATGCTGTCAACTCCTGGAACCTTGTTTTTTTTTTGTTAATTCCTTCAGAGCAATTTGAACTTCCTCCTTCATCACCATAGGCTCTTGCTCATATGTCATTTCATGAAATTCTTCTATGTCAGCCAATTCTGATACAGTGACTCTGTGTATTCCTTCCATCTTCTCTTGATACTTCCTGGATCATTTAACATTCTACCCAAAGTATCTTTAATTATTTTTTTAGTCCTTGCTAAATAAAATAACAGCCAAGTCTTTGCTTATATATAATAATTTTTGTTCTTCATGTTTTTTTAATTTCTCATCAGGCCTCAATCAACCTTGGGTTGCTGTATTTTAACAGTATTGTATCATCATTCATGCATTAAATGTTTACTGAGTACCTACTGGATGAAGCTGTTGTAAGATGCCATTGAGTATGACTAATAGCAACCCTTTGAACAACAGATCTGAACCCTATCCTATCCTGTGCCATCTCTGACACACTTGAGCCCATTGCTGCAGTCACCGTGTCAATCCATCTTGTTGAGAGGCTTGCTCTCCTTTGCCATTCCTCCACCTTCCCAAGCATGATGTCCCTCTTCAAGGAATAGCCTCTCCTAGCAACATTCCCCGAAGTATGTGAGACAAAGCTTCACCATTCTTGCCTGCAAGGCGCACTCTGGCTGCACCTTCTCCAAAACATATCTGTTTGTTCTTTTGGCAATCCATGGGACATTCTGTACTCTTTCCAACACCACAACTCAAAAGCATCAATTTTAATTCTATAATCCTTATCCATTGTCCAGCTCCCAGCAGTATAACGATTGGAAAGACCATAGCCTGAATTTAGCACACCTTAGTCCTCAAACTAACATCACTTCTGCTCAGTAATTTGGAGGGGTCCTTGACTGCAGACTTTCCCAATACATCTCTTGATCTCCTGTCTGCTGGTACCAAGTATGTTGATTGTGCATCCAAGTAAGATGAAGTAATTGACAGTTTCAATCTTTTCTCCATCTATTATGATGTCACTTATTGGTCCAATAAAATTTTTGTTTTCTTGACATGGAGATGCAATCCATATTGGAAGCTGCAATGTTTCATCTATTTCACCCTACTGCACCTTCAGTAACTGGTTGTCAAAAATTCAAGACTCAAATAAAATCCACCATTAATCATTTGATACCATAACTGGAGTGAAAGCCCTACTTTAAATCCACACTGCATTATCCTCAGAGTTCGGGTTACATCCAAGGAACTGCTGAGACAAACTACTGGCAATCTCTTTAAATGAGTCATGAAGACACCGCACCGTCCCCACCGCTAGAAATCTGTCCTCTGAAAGTTAAGCAGTTGGGTCCAGTGATGGTTCCTTAATGAAGTCAGAAGTGAGAAGTGATTTTTGCATACGGCATGCCCATAATTTGGGTATTTTTGTTTCCAGTCCTCACTGGTTTCTTTCTGGTGTCAGGAAAGAGCAGCCAAGTAAAAAAATACGAGGCAGTTATAAAAAATCAGGTGGTTGAGGCAGCTCTGATTTGAAATATATGAAATAGAAAGTGCCTTAGAGTTAGGGAGGGAAATTCTTCTACGTGGGTGGAGAGCTCGGCAAAGCTGGGTCACTTGCTGAGTTCACAGTGCTGGCTTTTTGGAGAGTGGTGGCTTTGGGACCATCCAGTACAGCCTCTTGCCAAGTCAAGGAATTCTGTGACATCTCACACCCGGCCAGTTCAACATTGCCTGACATAGGGAACTTTGGTAGTCTAGATAAGGGACTGTGCTGCAATCACAAAGACACGAGGTTCAAATACACAACCTTCTGTAATGCACAAGTATGGACAATCCCCTCTCATCATAATTTACTGCTTTTGCTATGGGTCGCTCTGACTTGATGGCACACAATGGCAGGAAATACCAGATTACCGGTAGTAACTCAAACAAAATCCAAAACAGGAAACTTGAGAATTGCTGCCTGCATTGTATTTTCAGCTAAGTGCTTCCTACTTGCCAAATGCCGTAAATGTCAAGGCACTTCATCTCCCCAGCATGTAACTTAGGATTGAAAGGAAAATTTTTTAAACAATGTTCCCACACCCAAGTATTGTAAGAACTTATACCTTTGATCTTGTGTGAATGTTTGTGTTCCAGGAACTAGCTGACCACAAACTGAACAAACAATTACTGGCAAAAACCATATTTTAACTAATGTCAGCAGTAGGTAACTGACCTAAAATTGAACTTCTCCTTTTCCAAAGAGCCAATGAGCTAATTCCATGCCAAAGAACCCCTAGACCTTGTATAAATTCCCTGCTTTTTTTGGGCTCGGGGTCGACTTCCCTGTCTCCTGTGTGAGATACAAGTCGTCCCGAAGCTTCGTCAATAAAGCCTCTTGTGATTGCAGCGAGTGGATCTGGTGTGAGTTGCTCGGGGTCGCGCCTGGTCTGGGAAAAGCCCTAGTTTGGGGTCTTTCATTTGGGGGCTCTTTCGTCCGGGATCAAGCATCCAACCCGCCAGCCAGCCACTTGGAGGTAAGAGGATCCTCTAAAATTTCTTTGTTTCTTTGTCTGTGCGGCGCCGCCAAACCTGTGTGTTCATAAGTCTGTTTTATTTTCAGCTTACTTTCAGTTTGTGACTGTGGCAAAGCAGACGTGCTTGAAAAAAACCACGAGTCACAGCCCTAGGGAGACGTCCCTTTAGGTAGAATACGGATCCAGAAGCTTTAATAGTCTCTGGTCCATCTGAGGGACTTAGAGTGTCCCGCCGGAGAAGAGGGGCCCGGAGGGCTCTCCCATCTGAAGCAGCTTTCAGTTAGTTATCGTGAAGAGAGCTTCTTGTGTGTCTTGTATTTCTTGTGAGTGTCTGCTGTGTTCTGTGGGCGACTAATATGGGACAGACTGTGACGACACCCCTCTCCCTGACTCTAGGACATTTTTCTGAAGTAAGAACCAGGGCTAATAATCTCTCTGTTAACGTTAAAAAAAGACCTTGGCAAACTTTCTGTAACTCTGAGTGGCCCGCTCTGAGAGTCAGTTAGCCACTAGAGGGAGCATTTGACCTAACAATCATTTTGGCGGTTAAAGATCTTGTTTTCCAGGAAGGCCCAAACGCGCATTCTGACCAACAGCCATACATCATTGTGTAGCAGGATTTAGTGTAGAATCCACCACCATGGGTAAAACCTTAAGTTCTGAAGAAACATACCACCCCTCCACGTGCATTAGCCCTAAAAACCCAAACTTCTGAGTCCAGAGTTCCTCTGGCCCCAGAAGCTGTGCCATCGGCACCACCCAAAATTTATCCTGAGATTAAAAATCCACCTGGGTAGCCTAAGATGCACCACAATCCTCCCCCATATCAGGGCCAGGTTGATCCCGGTCCCCCCATCCCTGCAAGTGCCCCCCAGGGACCAGCACAGGGGACTCACAGTCGGAGGAGTCTAGAGAGCCCAGATTCCACTGTAGCTCTCCCCTTACGAGCGTACGGAGGGCCCCCAGAGCCAAGACAACTCCAACCCCTCCAGTACTGGCCATTTTCCTCTGCTGACCTCTAGAATTGAAAGACTAACCATCCTTCCTTTTCAGGTAACCCCACAGGGCTTATTGAACTAATTAAGTCCCTCGTGTTCTCTCACCAACCCACCTGGGATGATTGCCAGCAACTTCCCCAGGTCCTCTTCACTACTGAGGAGCGAGAGAGAATTCAGACGGAAGCCAGGAAAAACGTCCGAGATGCTGCAGGACAACCAGTCCAGACTCCTGTGGCCATGGATGCGGGATTTCCTCTTGTTCGCCCCAACTGGGATTATAACACTGCTGAAGGTAGGGAGCAGCTATCCGCTTACCGCCGGGCTCTCGTAGCAGGTCTCAGAGGGGCTGCGCGACGCCCCACTAATTTGGCTAAGAGAAGTCCTTCAAAGACCTACCGACCCCCCCCCCACCGTGTTCCTAGAAAGACTAATAGATGCCTATAGGAGATACACTCCCTTTGACCCCGCATCAGAAGGACAGAAAGCAGCAGTAAAATTACAGCACATAGAGGAGTTACAAGATTTTACACTGAGGGATGTAGTGAAAAAAGCTGAGAAAGTGTATCACAAGAGGGAGACAGAAGAAGAGAAGGCAGAGAGAGAAAAGAAAGAAAGAGAGGAACGTGAAGACCGGCGAGACCGCCGTCAAGAGAGGAATTTGACAAAAATCTTGGTCGCGGTAGTGAGTGAAAAAAAAAAAAGAGACAGAGCAGGGTCTAGACCGATAGGCCACCTGGGCACTAAGGGATCGAAGCAATATGAAAAGAAACTGCAGTTAGACAAAGACCAGTGTGCATACTGCAAAGACAAGGGACACTGGGCTAAAGAGTGTCCCAAGAAAAAGAATAAGCCGTCAAAAATTCTCACCCTAGATAAAAACTAGAGAAGATGGGGCTTGGATCCCCTCCCCAAGCCTAGAGTAACTATATCTGTGGGGAGGACCCCCGTTGACTTCCTGGTAGACATGAGGGCATAACATTCAGTTCTGAAGCAGCCCCTGGGGAAAATTAGCACAAAGAAGTCAGTAGTGCTAGGAGCTACTAGACAAAAATTCTGCCCATAGACCACGGAATGGACTATAGATCTAGGAAAAAATCAAGTGACTCACTCTTTTCTTGTTATACCAGCGTGCCCAGCCCCACTCTTAGGAAGAGATCTCCTAACTAAACTGAAAGCCCAAATTCAGTTCACTCCAAGGGGGCCTGAAGTTACCTGGGATAGCAACAAGCCTAGCACTCTAGCCCTAGTAGTTCAACTAGAAGAAGAATATAGGCTCCATGAAACAGAAACAGAGGCTAAAGGTTTGGACCTCGTAGATTAGTTAAAAGAATTCCCAGAAGCCTGGGCAGAAACAGGGGGGTTAGAGATGGCTAAAAATGTTCCACCAATAGTAGTGGAATTAAAAGCGGACGCCTCCTCCATTAGAGTTAGACAATATCCTATGAGTAAAGAAGCCAAGGAGGGAATCCGACCACACATCCTCTAGGTTAATAAAACAAGAGGTTCTAGTGGCATGCCAATCCCCCTGGAACACTCCTCTCCTCCCTGTGAAAAAGCCAGGGACAAATGACTACAGGCCAGTGCAGGATCTAAGAGAAGTGAATCGGAGAGTGCAGGACATACACCCCAGAGTTCCTAACCCTTATACCCTCCTCAGCATGCTACCACCCTAGAGAAAATAGTATTCTGTCTTAGACTTGAAAGATGCTTTTTTCTGTCTGAGGTTGCATCCCGCTAGCCAAGCTATCTTTGCCTTTGAATAGAGAGACCCTGAGGCCGAGATAACTGGACAATTAACCTGGTGTCGATTGGCTCTGGGGTTCAAGCATTCACCGACCCTTTTTAATGAAGCCCTGCACCGAGACCTCAGTGAGTTCTGGACCAGCAACCCTCAGGTGACTTTGTTACAGTATGTAAATAATCTGCTTCTAGCCACCCTAACCAAAGAAGAATGCATTGAAAGTACAAAGAAGCTTCTAATGGAGCTGGGGACTTAACTATCGTGCCTCAGCCAAAAAGGCCCAGCTGTGCAAAACTGAAGTAACTTACTTAGGGTATGTACTGAGAGATGGCCAAAAGTGGCTAACAGAGGCCTGGAAAAAGACTGTAATGCACATCCCGACTCCCTCCTCACCGAAGCAGGTAAGGGAATTCCTAGGGACAGCCGAGTTTTGTCGCCTGTGGATACCCAGGTTCGCCTCCTTGGCAGCCCCCCTGTATCCTCTAACCAGAAATCAGGAACAATTTACCTGGAATCCTGAACATCAGATGGCCTTTTAAGACATTAAGAAAGCCTTGCTTTCAGCTCCTGCCCTCGCCTTGCCAGACCTGACCAAGCCATTTACCTTATACATAGATGAAAGAGGCGGGGTGGCTAAAAGTGTGTTGTC